TTCTGCTAGGAAATGTACAGCAAAGCAGAGGAGATGAGTGGCCTGCACAGATTGTGCAAAATTTTAGTATAAATTAGATAATTAAATCAATTACGATTCCTAATACATTAGATTGAAATGTTTCATTTTGTGTTTCTTCGCTTCTTAAATTCTCTTCAGGTTTTTAATGGAACTTAATAATGGTTAATGGAAACTTCATTACTGTAAAATGTATTTTGATAGATGTTGGCCAAGTTGGGAAGCATAGAACCTCCAAGTTTCCCTGTTTTCCAGGGACAGTCTCAGATATACAGAAGCCATCCTGATTTCTGATTTGATCCCAGAATGTCCCGGTTTTTCTTAGGATGTCCCTGTTTTCATTGGAGAAATGTTGAAGGGTATGGACTTATCCGACCCCCCGAGCCGTCTGAAGGCAATCCTGTATAGGGAATGTTTTTATTTTTATGTTTTATGTTTTATTGTGTTTTTATATATGTTGGAAGCTGCCCAGAGTACTGGGGCAACCCAATAAGACAGGCATAGGCAAACTCGGCCCTCCAGATATTTTGGGACTACAACTCCCATCATCCCTAGCTAACAGGACCAGTGGTCAGGGGTGATGGTAGCTGTAGTCCCAAAAACATCTGGAGGGCCAAGTTTGTCTATGCCTGCAATAAGATGTATGGGTTATAAATAGTAAGATTATCATTGTGGAACAGGATGTCCCTATTTTCATCAGAGAAATGTTGGAAGCGCAATGCCTTGGCTCAGACATAACACCAAATTGTGCTTTGGGGAATATTTGCGCCAGGCTTCAGACTTGCATGCTCCATCATCCTTCTTCTATGAGCCAGTTGCCTCTCTGCTCTCCTGGTTTGAGACAAAGCAAATATGTCAAACTTTGGCATGCATCTGCCAGGTTTCTGATCCTAGTTTACACAGCAAACACAGACCAAAGTTTGTCAGATCAAGCAAAATGGGCATATGATCTGCCTCCAGCCAAGAAAGGAGGGAATTGCCATGTCCCATTACCAGAGGGACACAGCACAAAATCATGAACCAGACTATGCTGTTGTGGTTCTTCCCAGTGTGAACCCCATAAAATATCTGATCTTCTCTGTATCAGAAAAACACAGATCACGAGATAACTTGCAAACTAGGCAGTAGAACTTGATAACGCCACCTTACTGAAGCTGAAGTGATTTTATGTTAAAGTTTTATTGGGTTTACCTAAAGATGTATTGTCTTCCAGGGTGAGTTTAAAGACAGATGCTTGCGTATTAAAAGTCAAATTTATAAAATATTGTTGTTGTACTGGCCTAAGATGCACAATATGTGTGTTAATAATTTATAATGTAATATAATAATAATATTTGTGTTGCCCAGGTTATAACTGAACGTCGCTTTTACTAAACCCAGTTGCAGTCAGTGAGCACACAGAAAAATATGATTAGAAAAATATCATTTGATGACACAGCTTTGGAAAGATATTCAACCTTAGCCTATTAGTCTATATGGGCATCTGTTTTATGCTTTGGGCTTGTTTTATTGTTCCACCCCTTCTAACAATAGTTTCCTTGTTCAGATGAAATGGGAAACTATGGTTTGATTGTAGTTTGTGTGAAGGGAGAAGTAAAGGAAGTTCTGTGCATGAGCAAAGAAATGTTTGTGCTTATCTCAGTGACCGTCTGAGCTGCCTCAGTGTTTACAACTTGTAGTTTATACTCTGCATTAAAAATAAATAAATCTGTATTGTATATTATGCAAAGGTTTTTGGCCAAAAGCCCTTCCCTAGTTAGGAGGTCTTCTAACAAACAGCCTTGTGCATATTGCCTTGAGTTTAAGGATGGAAGAAGTGCATGATATAAAATATACCAAAATAAGATACAACTCTTTAAAAAATAAAACCCATCTGGTCTAAAGTAAGTACAGAAAACAATACACACACATTGCTAGCATTATGTTTCCTTTACTTTCCACTATTCCATCAGAGTGAGTTGTGTGTGTGTGTGTGTGTGTGTGTGTGTGTGTGTGTTTAGTTTTGCCTGAAACAATGTTAAAATGAATGTTTCATCAACATTTGGCATTTTTGGAACAAATAAGACTGTCTTGAAATGGAAGAATAATTCTTAATCTTCCCACAAGCATTTCCCAACATGATTCAATTGGGATGGAATGAAGAGCAGGGGTCTTTTCCTAAACATGGTGAAATTTTGAAGTTAACCTCTTGGGCCCACAGAAAACCAAAGAAAAATGCATTATCATCGGGGTTCATCTGACCCTCTTATTACAGCCCTTTAGGAAATCTCTAAAGACCCATTTATTTTCCTTGGTTTTCTCTAGAGTTGTTGGTTTATTGAAGGGCCTGTTGTTTTAATTGTATTTGATATTGGTTTTTAATATTAGTGGCCTGTCTGTTCAATTATTATCCCTGACTTTAAAAAAAATTTGTTTCTGTATTATTTACCGTATTTTTTGCCCTATAGGACGCACTTTTCCCTCTCCAAAAATGAAGGGGGAAAGTGTGTGCTTCCTATGAGGCGAATGCAGGCTTTCGCTGAAGCCTGGAGAGCGAGAGGGGTCAGTGTGCGGGAGTTCCCGCCAGGCTCCCAAGGCTTGCGGATAGCAGCCTGTTCTGGGGGCTGGGGTCGGGGGAAACTTGGACTTCCCCCGCCCAATCCCCGCGCCTGGGGGGAAAATATTTTTTTTTCTTTATCCCCCCCCCCAAAAAAAAGCCTAGGTGCGCCCTAGGGGACGGTGCGCCCTATAAAGTGAAAAATATGGTAATTGAGTAAGTAGCCTTCACAAATCCTTAAGTGCCAGACTAGGAATCTTAGGCTATCATAGAGATGATAGATCGATAGATAGATGATCGATAGATAGATGATAGATAGATAGATAGATAGATAGATGATAGATAGATAGATAGATAGATGATAGATAGATAGATAGATAGATAGATAGATAGATAGATAGATGATAGATAGATAGATAGATAGATAGATAGATAGATAGATAGATGATAGATGTTTTGTTTTTAAAAGAGAAACCTGAGGGTAAAACTCTGAAGTACAGTGTAACATTATTATTTTTTCACATTCCCAGAGGTCTGCCAAGATAAAACCTTAACTTCTAGTTCGTTGCTTAATTAGAAACAGGGTTGTTTTTTATTTGTGTGTGCAAATTTAGAAAAGTGTTTGTGAATTTAAACTGCACTGTCTCTCAAAAGTTTAAATCAAAGATGAGATGGAAAGCCGGTGGCCCTCCACTTTTTGTTGGACTCAAACTCCCATATTGGCCAATAATCCGATGTGCTGACTGGGGCTGATGGAAGGGCACCAGGTTGGAAAACGCTGGTCTAGACTCTCTGGATACCTTTGTCGATCTCTTTCAGTTGATTTATGGTGTATGTTGCTCGGTTTGAAACATTTGAAAAAAATGGTATAGAAAAAAAATGTGGGCTTTTCACGTGCCCCTGAAATGGTGGTGGTTTTTTAAAAAAGACCCTTCAACAAGCCTTTGCTGTGACATTGCCTAATTGGTCCCACTGACAAAGATTAATGCCTGTTTTCTGTGTGGAGATTTTTTTAAAAATTCAGACAAGCTTCATGGATCCACAACTGCATGGTTCCAATGACATAATTCACCTTTCATATATTTGTCCATCGTTTCCTACCTACCTACCCATTTTCTGGCATAAGAGATTTTCTGGGAACAGCAATAGCATTCTGCATTGTTCTCCTTAAAAGCAAGCAAACGAAAAGATCTTCCCAATGTATCACTTCCTTTTCTTCTCGACATTTCTCCAGAAGGTTCAAATGAGACTTGGAACACCAGACTGCAGTGCAGCAGAGCTATTCACATACTGGCAATATAATTCTGAGGAGGAGTGGGGCTGAGCTGGGGGGAAAGTTATCTGACCCACAAAAATAAAGTCTAATACTTCAGTAATTTAAAAGTGTTCAGTAAGGCAGTATTTCTCTAACTTGTGTCTCCTGAGAAGGAGTTTTCTAAACTTATTCTTCCTTAAGCTGCCCCTCAGCTGTAGAGCAGAGCATGAGAGTTGCACCTATCTGCTGTACACAAATATGCAAGAATGTGACATTACAGAGGAAGAAAGAGAGAAACCAAAATATAGTTGTCCCTTCCTAAATCCATACACAAGGATATCTTGGTATAACAGGGGTGGGGTGCCTCAGGCCCAAGGGCTGAATGCAGCCCTTGTTGAGACCACTTTGTCTGTCCCTTAGAACTTTCTCCAGTCCATGTCCTTCCACCCGAGACTCACCCTTCTAGTGCCAGATTTACATATAAGCTAAACAAGCTATAGCTTAGGGCCCCACTCTCGGGGGAGGAGGGGGAATTTAAAGGGGAAAAACCTGGATGTACATTTCCCGAATATAAGATAAAAAACAAATAAAATAAAACCTGCATGCAGCAACAGTGTTTTGTATTGTGTAATGGGCCCCGCCTGCTAGCCTGCTCCCTAAAATATCACTGGTTTGCTCATTTCTATATATAGGGTACCTACATTCTGCATGGATTTTGCATTCTGCATTGACTTTTCAACAATAACTGATAAAATACATATTTTGTTATGTTCAAATGGCTTTAGATACCTGTTAGGTCCATAAATTACCATATAGCATATATTCAACACAAAAAAGCGACATTTGTTGTTGACAAAGGACAGCTGGACATATCAAGGGCAAATCCGGCCCTGACCCTCTTCCACATCCTTCTTGAACTGTGTCCTTGAACTTTGAGGATGACTCTGGTTGCCCAGAAAGAGAATCGGAAGGTGGACATATCTTGTCCTTAGATCTCTAAAAAGGTAGAGAACCAACAAGTCAGAAGCATGTGTTTCTTTGCTCCTTTTCTCTTTCCAAAACGTTTTTTGTTCAAAAGGCTCCCATTAACGCTCAACAAATGCTTAGTGTCCATCGCTGCTTCTTTCAGGACGCAGATGGGAAGCCTGAAACCTGTTCCTCATTTCGTTGCCTTTCCTTCTCTCCTTGCAGACATTGAGAATGCCACGGACATTGCCTTGTATTCAGGCCTGGGTGCTGCCGTCATTGCGGTAGCCGTCATTGTCGTTGGTGTGACTCTCTACAGACGGAGCCAGAGTGAATATGGTGTGGATGTGATCGACTCATCTGCCCTAACAGGAGGCTTCCAGACATTTAATTTTAAAACTGTCCGACAAGGTTGGTAAAGCAGAATGCCACTTATTGAGAAAGAGTCCATCTTTGCATGCAAAAGGATTCAGGTTCAATACCAGATTTCTCCAGCTAGGGTGAGGAAAGACCTGTGAAACCCTGGAGAACCACTACTGAGCTTGGTGGACCAAGAGTCTAACTTGATATGTTCTTCTACGGTCATGGTGGGGAAACTGTTTCATGGTGGTTATGTCCCACATGACACCTAAAGATCTATACTTGGAAGCAGCACAGAAAGGGCTGCCATCTTGGATTTAGGTATACAGTGGTACCTCGGGTTATAGACGCTTCAGTTTACAGACTCCGCTAACCCAGAAATAGTACCTCAGGTTAAGAACTTTGCTTCAGGATGAGAACAGAAATTGCACGGCAGCAGCGTGGCGGCAGCAGCAGCAGCAGGAGGCCCCATTAGCTAAAGTGGTGCCTCAGGTTAAGAACAGTTTCAGGTTAAAAACAGACCCCCAGAACGAATTAAGTTCTTAACCAGAGGTACCACTGTACACTGCTGTACTGATAATTGCAGCCTTCAGCATTTCTAAGCATATAAGAGGTGCCTTTTAATAATGTTTTGAATGGGGGGAAAGTGGCAATACCATTTCTGTAAAAAAATTCTGGCAGTGGGAGAGTGGGAGGAGAGATTGTGATAGAAGCTAGCATCACACTTTCACTAAAAACCATGGATACACAGGTCCTGGAAAGTTGAGACTCCAGTTTAATCTTACTGAAAACCATGGTGGATCACAAGACATTGGTGGGCCAATTATGTATGCCTTTGCCCCTTGATTAAGTGTACGTAACTTAGGGATCTGAACCACAAACAGCACCTTAATACATTCTTATTTTAGTATAATTTCTACCAGACATTCTCCACAGGGCAAGTGAATAGCACACAGATGTGGGCCCTTTTTCAGCCCATGGACCACATTCCTTTCTGGGCAACCTTCCAGGGGCCACATGTCCGTGCTGGATGGGACCAGAGGTAAAATTGGGCAAATCAATGTATATGAATTTTACACACTCACACACTCTTCACTAACTTCCATGCAGGCTCAATCCCCGTATGAAACAGCGGCATATTCCTACATGACAGGGGGTGATCTTCAGGGGCCCTTCCAACTCTGCAATTATATTATTCTATGTAAAGGCATTTTCAGAGTTCAAGAGCATATTCCGTCCAGGCCCAATGAGGGTGCAAAGTAGGATCAGTGGGGAATGTGACCTGGGGAGATGTGTGGCTGGGGATGGTCTGGGGAATGTCTTGAGGGCCAAATAGAGGGACCAGGGCATAGCTGTCAATGTTTCCCTTTTTTAAAGGGAAATTCCCTTATTCCGAATAGAATTCCTCACAAGAAAAGGGAAAAGTTGACAGCTATGGGCCAGGGTGTGTGTGCTTTGGTCACCAGGCCTGATCTTTTTCATATGGTGAGAATCTGGTTATAAAAGTGTGAGAATCTGGTTATACACGTATTTCCATTCTTCCTAGAAAAATCCATGGACTCCATTATTTCAAGTTCTGCAGTTCAGATAACTAAAGGATGGCAGTACTTCAGACAGTGGGAGTTCACAGACCCAAACACACCAAAAAACACTCAAGTGCACCATGTTTAGTCATGCATCAACACACACACTCACGAGGTCTAAATTGTGCTTCTTTCCGGGAACAGTCTTTCCTTGAGACTGCGAGGGAGTAATTTTATGTAGTGGGTGAGAAAAGTTCTTTGAATTTCTATCACTCTCTTTTCTGAGATGGAAACCTTATTGAAGGTGGGAGGAAGTGTTGGGAGATGTGTGAACATAGCCCTGTTTTAATTCTCCCGAAGAAAAATATGATACAGTATTTCATAGATAAATATGTAGATGTTCTCCTCCCCATGGGGCACGCGCCTTGCAAAGCATAAATTAAAATAAGCGAGGCAGAGAAAGATTCACAAACTCGTTTGAAATTAAGGACAGCTTGGTATATGTGTCTATTTAATCAGAGCCTGCTTTAATATATAAATGACGGTTGATTTTCTGATATATGTTTATTTCAGTTCATTACCAGAAATGCATACTTCAAATGTAGTTTGCATGATGCTTTAATAGCTGCAAATTCTGATGTGTTAAATACCTTTAGAAGCTATCCTAAAGTTGCCATTTTTAATTATTTATTCTGATGCAAAGATTGAATCTTTCCTGTTTTCACCATTGCTGCTTATTTAACTAGCTATTCTGAAAAGTATTGTTATCAGTGTGCAAATATTTCATCTGACTTAACACCAGGCGATTTCAGGTTCAAATCCATAGACTAATGTTTGCGAGTAGCTGGAGCTGGAGATCCACTTGAAAGAGATGATAGTCATTTTACTACCCCTTGAAAGGATCAGCCCAGCTGGTAGACAGGACAAAAGTTTCCATTTTATAAACAATGTAAAAATTAAAAAAAAGTGCACAGAGGCAGCCTAACCGTTCTCTATCTATCTCTCTCTTTCTCTCTCCACTTCCATCTTCTGTAACCTTTTTGTGACCTGTACAAGTTGTTGTGCTTTTCTTCGACCTTTTTCCTCCCTATAGAAATGAATGAAATAAGCAATAAGCAAATATTTCTGTTCCATTCAGACCTCATTTGCTTCAATTCCCATTCTACATTATAGCTTATAACAAAATAAAAATGATGCTCATATTTTTCATTCTTTCCTAAAAACGAATGCACACCCCTATTTTTCACTCATCAGTAGCTCAGTTGGCAGAGCATGAGACTCATGAGTTTGAGTCCCACGATGAGCAAAAAGATTCCTGCATACAGGGGGTGGGCTGTATGGCCCTCTTGGTTCCCTCCAACTCTACAAGTCTATGATTCTATGATTATACAGCCACTGTTTACAGGTGAACTCTATGCAGCACAATCTTAAGTGTGGTTATTCCAAAATGACTTCCATTTTGCTCTGTGGGACTTTTTGCTCTTGATCAGACAGGGGGCAGTGGGCCAACTGTGACATTCCCCCACTAACCTCAGTCTGCATTTTAGGCAGTCCACACCTTCCCACTAACAACCAGTCCAGGGATTGGCACTGCCTGTCAGCTTCCTCATCCTTACTCTCACTTGCCCTTGTAGAATTTAGCAGGGAAGTGGGCGCATGGGAATAGCACCAGAATTAGTTGGCACTGCCTATCACTGGCTCTACCTCCAGCTACTGTTTGAGTTCCCTGCCACCAAATCAGATCATCAAGCTACAGGGTTCTGAAACCACGAGGAGGCAGAATTTGGTTGTTGACACTTGTAAGATACACAGCCAGCAGCTGCTATCTCACAGGAAATCCAGCTTGCTTACATGAATGTAGGATGAAACTGCATACAGTAAATCACTGGCAACAAAGGGTAGACAGGGGTCATTTTGGGTTTCTCTTATTTTCTAATATTTCTGGTCTTCAATTCTGGTCTTCTCTGATTTTTGCATCAGTTTGAGATTTATTTATTTTCAAAGAAGTCCTCATCAAAATGCATTGTTGTTTTAGGGCATTCCCCCCCCCCCGAATACATTTTTGCAGGCATTTTCCTGTAGTATAATAATGTATTTTATATCTAGTTTCCACTAACAGATGCATTTTTTTAGACACACTTTCACCCAAATATATGCATTTTTGTGCACATTATTTGGTTGGAGAATTGCATATTCTTCTTCAGTTATTAATCAGTCCAGCTCTAGCATTTTGTGATAGGGATTTTATGGTCTTAGATATATGGTAATGTTCATAACTGCACATACATAGATCAACACAGGAAGACCAACCTGGAACCATTTTGATTCCTAAACTGACCAAATCCTTTCTCTGCAAGGTTAAACTGGAAAAGCCTCCCCATTGTCTCTTTCCTCACAAATCCTGTCTCAAGGATATGTCTGTTTGAATAAGGTGTGAGCCTGTGACCTGGCCCAGGAAATAAGTATTTTACCACTACAAAAGAATGGCTGGGCTCCCCAGGCAATCCAATCAAGTAACTTGCCAGACAGGAGATAAACTGTGACAGAAGAAAAACAACATTTAAATTTCTGTGATGTAGGTGGAATGTATCTGAGGGGTGGTCTTAGGATGCACCCCTTCTGTGATGTATGTGTAACGTTTCTGGGGGTGGTCTTGATCTAGAGGATGGGAATTTCAAAAGTCTTTATAAGGTCTTGCACACCATCTTTCTGGGTCCTCCTCCTCTCCTGCGTGTGAGGGAGTACCCTGTTGCAACAGATCAATAAAGATCAAGCTTACTAGCTGCTTTGCTTCTCAATATTCTCTGGTTGGCCTCTGTTATTTTCTCCTACCAATAGGGAACCTATGTAAGGACTCTATATGGGCTCTTGGATACCCCATAAGGGAAAATGGCATATTTTTATTTACAACAATTTGAATGCTGTTTGCAAATGATACCTATCATTCTGAATGGAAATAGGACAGAACAAAGCATGGAATTTAAAATTTTGGAGGGAATTGCTTACCTGCAATGAGATGGGGCTATGATTTTAATAGCCTGCCACACCCATCCACCCACCCACCCCAAAATTAGTAGTCTTTCAAAGAGACTTCTTGGCGCATGAAGTTAATTTTCTATAAAGTTTGAGCAGCTGATTTAAAGGTGGGTAAGGGCTTAGGTGTAAATCACCTTAAAAGAGCTTGGAGACCAAATAAGAGGGTTTCAGAATTTCCTGAATATTTGTCTCTTCTTTATAAAATTCCCCCAAGTATTAAGACAATGAAAAATGAAGGCACTGGAACACACACACACACACACATGAAAAAATCAATAACCCACCTAAAAATCTAGGTCTCCAATTCTTCAATTTCCTCAGCATTCACTGGGCCAAAGATCTCCCATAATAAGATTGTTAACTACCTTTCACTCCTTGTTTCATTTTTATTTTTTAAACTGAAATTTAACAACACATTAGGAAATGAAAAACATAGAAAACAGCACAAGCTCAGAAGGGTTCAAAGTAAACTATAAGAGGGCAGTCCATGTGGGAATTGTAGAAATTAGCTACAGGCAAAAGCTTAAGGGTATATATATAGAACAATTAACCTTGTTGTTAGGGGGGTAGGTAGAATTTATGAAATATGAAAAAGTGCTGGCAGGGGACTGAAGTTGTCGCACAAAAGTTAGGTGAAAGTATTCTTAACCATAAGGCATGTGGGGGCAGGAACCATAAGCGTGCTTCTGGATCAGGTGAAGTCCCCGTCTAGTTTAGCATCCTTTTCTCACAGTGACCGACTAGGTGCTTATGGTAAGGTCTGAAGCAAGGCAGCAGTGAATACTCTCTTTGACATTACAGTGCTTAAGAAAGTATACACAGCACCTCAACAAAGGATTGTTGGACACAACTGAATATTGATTATGTAAAGAATTCACCCAGTGATGTTTGGAAACTGGACTTAGAGGGGGCGGAATCTAACCAAAGCCTCAGAAAATAGCTTGATTTAACTGAGAATAATTTGGACCGTGTTATGCCCCTGATGATGTTATCAGGAGTGCAACAGAGTCCCACCAGTTCCCACCTACAATCCCCCCACCTACATGCCTGCCTGCCTGGGTCCCTCCCATCCACTGCTGTGATGGCGGCAGTAGGATTAAAGAACATCTCTTCCATTGCCTCTCGGATGCCTGGCATGGTGCTGTAACTGTATGACAGGCACAAGGAGCTCTGGGCAATGTTATTTTCCCAAGGCTCCTGATGTATCACGAGCTTGACAGGGTCCAATTCTTCCCTCAAAATCCCCCAATGAGCCAGGCACGTCAAAACAGCACACTAGGTGTCAGATAGAGGAGGAGGAAGATCAATATCTGCCTCTCAGGTTCCACAGCTGCAAGAACAGCAAGGAAGAAAAGTAGGGATGGAGTTGGCCGTGTGGGAAAGAACAAGATAGGAAAAGAGGGTTTCTCTGGCTCAGTTTAAAATCAAAGCCAAGGAATGGGGGGCTGCTGGGCCATTAAAATCACATTGTATTTTAACTTAAGCATCATGAGCTACTCAAATTCATATGTCTGAGTCAGAAAATATGACTCTTTCACATCACTGATGAGTAAACAACGACCATGATCTCCCCCAGCTAATTATGTTATTCTGGGGTGGGATCACTGCTGGTTTTGTCATGAGAAACTGTACTGGATATTATATGACAATGCCAATAAACACGTGTGTGTGTGTGTGTGTGTGTGTGTGTGTGTGTGTGTGTGTAACCAGATTCTTTTAAACCAAAGCAATGTAAGTGTTTGGGGGTAGGGATAAGAACACTTTTGATGAGTGGCTAAAGATAGAAAACAAAAGGTAGGAACGACACAACTATTTTCCTGTGAGTTTCATTGTGAGCAAAAATAAAGAAAGTGATTATGGAAATTATTCAAATACTTGTCAAAGCACGTTATTCACTGTTACTATAAAATAAGCAACTCTGTTATTTCTGTGAATCATTCCAAACCATAGTGTAGCAATAAGCCAAGAGCAGCAACAAGCCTTGGGTTCATGCATTCCCTGCTTCCCTCTCATCTTCCAGCACTGCTGGTAGAAGATTTCTTATTATGTCTAAGCTAGGAACTTTTGTTTGTTTAAACAGTGGCTTGCTAAAAAAGATATCATCAGCAGTGGCTTCGTCCTGGTTTCCTACAATAACCCACAGTTCAATTAGCCACATTTTGTCCTTTGCAATTGCACTGTTACTTCATGAAGTGGTCTTTACATTCTCCTCATGACCAAACCAGAGGAGAGGGGGAAAGGAAGTAGGCTCACTGATACATCTGCTAAATGTACATGCTTCTACTGGTGGTGTTTTAAGTTGATCCTGAACTTAGCTGACCATGTAGGAGTATTTTGGAAAATCTGAATATTATTATTTTGAAGGGGTGTCAGTTCCCATTGTTTGCAGCTGCTGTACTTCAGAAAATCCAAACAAAATGTCCCGTATTAATCCTGACTGTCATCCTGATCTTAAAGGAGTATTTTGGGAAATCTGAATATTATTATTTTGAAGGGGTGTCAGTTCCCATTGTTTTCAGCTGCTGTACTTCAGAAAATCCAAACAAAATGTCCCTTTGGTCTCCCGCATTGGAAACCGCTAGAGATGGCATGGCCGAACACAGGATCTGGGACTAGATAATGGGGAGGTTTCAGATATTTTGAATCACCCTGTGCAAAGGGTTAGTGCAGGCAGCCATTTTACAGCACATTCCACCTGGGGGTTAAATTAACCCTAACCATTTTCTTGGTGATATGGATGAGAGAGCTGAACCCCTCAACCCAGCATGGGTAGAGAGTTCATCATCTACTTAACCAACTTTTTGACCCCTACGGCAGTCAGTTTCTCTCAATTGAATTTACAGTACATCAAACACCACAATTAACAAATGTATTGATTATTTGTTGCCAATGTGAAATAGTTCATCATCTGGGATTTTTAATTTTACCTTGTCTGTTGATGTCTTCAGTTTTCAGCATTGATTTCGATGAAATGCAATTTTCTTATGAATGTGCTTATAAAATGCTTAAAGTGCATGAGTGAATGCATTAAAAATCATAACTCTGTAAAGTAATGCTCTTTAGGGCAGGTAATACTGTGCATACAATACTGTACATACAGAATATATATATTTCACATATATACTAATGGAGTAGAACTGGCAATGATGGACCAGGAAAAAAGAACTTTAGGTCATGGTGAATAGATCAATGAAAATGTGCCACAGCTGGGTGTGTGTGGGTGAGTGTGGGTGTGCTTTAATACAAAATATATTCCTTCATTAGGAAATGGAATTAAAATGAAATGGTCAATATTATAATAATGCTATTATATAAATAGATGGTGAAATCACATCTGGAACATTTTGCATAGTTCTGGTTGGGGCATAGTTCTCAAAAATGATATTATAAAGCTATAAAATGTTCAGAAATACTGTAAAATTAATGAATGTTAAAATGATGTTGGATTGAAAATAAGTGGTATTGGTAACAAGGTTATTAAGAATATGCAAATATGGATTGATAATGGATAAAAATGTATAGCCATAATAGGTTAAGAATGAGTTAAGATAAATGAAAGAGGGTAAGGATTTGCTGAATTGATATGTAATGGAATCAAAGGGAGTGTAGGAGTCAAGGAACAAGCAATGAGCTAAGATATTGAAGATGGATTTATTCTTTAAATTTTCTTAGCTATTGTTTTTGCATTTTTTTTTCTTGCATTTTTTCTTTTATGTTTCTTTAGTTGCGTCTGTTTAAATCCTATCTGTATTATGTTTTTTTGTAAAACGCTAATACTATATAAAATGTTCAGAAAAGGACAACCAAAATGATCAAACGGCTGGAACAACTTCCCTTGTCTGGTAGGCTAAAGTGTATTGACCAAACCAATGGTTTACCACCTCATTAAGAACTAGGCCAGGGAAGGGGAACCTTTGGTTCTCAGATGTTGAATTAAGTCAGGGTGAGGAACCTGCAGCCCTTCCAGATGTATTTGGACACCAATTCCATCAGCCCCAGCCAGCATGACCAATGGTCCGGGTTGATGGAAAGCCAACGATACATGGAGGGCTACAGGTTTTCCATCCCTGAACCAGGCAATTCTGTAGACAAAGCTATACACACAACACTGTCTGTTGTACATAACAATGATAACCAATTGCCCGATTGATTTCCTTCCATCAGGTAACTCCTTGCTTTTGAACTCATCCATGCAGCCTGACCTGACCGTGAGTAGAACCTACAGTGGACCCATTTGCCTTCAAGACCCCATCGACAAGGAGCTTATGACCGAATCATCTCTCTTCAACCCTTTGACTGACATTAAGGTCAAAGTTCAGAGTTCATTTATGGTTTCTTTGGGTGTGACTGAACGATCAGAGTACCACGGAAAAACACATTCTGGGACATTTCCACATGACAGTAACAGGACCTTCCATCCCATACATGCAAAAAACAAAGCTGCATACATTCAGAATCTCTCATCGCTCTCCAAAAGAAGTGAGATGAGGGCCACGGGTATCTTTGGCCACCTGGGAGGACGTTTAGGAATCCCAAACACAGGTGGGTTGCTGCAAAGTCTGAGCGTGCTTCTAAATGCATTATTAAGTGTTATTTCTCTCTTTCTCTTTAAAATGTGCTGTCATAGCAAGTTCTCTCAGTGGGGCTTGTGACATATGAACCCTTGCTTGCTGTTACCAGCTGACAACTTGGTAAAGATACCCTAAGGACCAATAGCAAACACTCACAGGATGTCTGAGCAGTTGTAACTCATAACCCATGGGTAGGCAAACTAAGGCCCAATCGCCTTCTAAATTCAGCCTGCGGACAGTCTGGGAATCAGCATAATTTTACATGAGTAGAATGTGTCCTTTTATTTGAAATGCATCTCTGGGTTATTTGTGGGGCATAGGAATTCGTTCATCCCCCCCCCAAAAAAAAATAGTCCGGCCTCCCACAAGGTCTGAGGGGCAGTGGACTGGCCCCCTGCTGAAAAAAAATTGCTGACCCCTGTCATAACCTAATGAAATAGTCCACTCTTGTTGCTGGGGAAGCGAGATTGAGTAGATTTTCCCCAAGTCACTAGCACGGTCCTACTAAAAACACAAGAAAAGCCACATTGGATTAGACCCAGACTTCATATTGAACAGCATTCTCCTTCTGACCCAGTTCCTGCCGCAAGGCTTTAAACCCTGCCTTACTAGGGGCTGTCTACTGAGTCAATCAGGGTACTTAAAGGTAAAGGTAAAGGGACTCCTGACCGTTAGGGCCAGTCACGGACATCTCTGGGGTTGCAACACAACGCTTTACTGGCCGAGGGAGCCAGCGTACAGCTTCCGGGTCATGTGGCCCAGCATGACTAAGACGCTTCTGGCAAACCAGAGCAGCACATAGAAACGTCGTTTACCTTCCCGCCAGAGTGGTACCTATTTATCTACTTGCACTTCGTGCTTTCGAACTGCTAGGTTGGCAGGAGCAGGGACCGAGCAATGGGAGCTCACCCCGTCGCGGGGATTCGAACCGCCAACCTTCTGATCGGCAAGCCCTAGGCTCTGTGGTTTAACCCACAGTGCCACCCACTAAACCTCTGGCTCTGGCTTTCCATTTGGATATGCTGCTGCCTACTCTTGCCTACAGGGGCTCATGAGGGTGATGGGATACAGGGCATCCTTTCAACAGGGACACTGCCCTCATTGGTCATTGGGAGAGAGAGCTGTAACAGGCAGGGAGGAGCTTTTCAGGTATGGTCAACACTTCAGGACTCCCCTGATTTCAACACCGCTGCCTTGCTCCAATGAAGTGAAGGGCTTCCAAGCACCAGGAGGACACGACTGTACTCCTTCCCCACCAACCTCTGCTGCTCTTTGCATGAACAAAGGCTCCCATCTAGCATTAGTGTTTACTTTGGAATGCAGAGCATCCAGTGCTTTTTAAAAATAAAAAAATATTGATATTAAAACGGAACATTGCTCACAGATCCAATGATGATTAATCTCATATATAATTTGGTCCTATATCAATATTTACTAGGTTTCAGTCATGTACAGCCAGAAGTCTTAAATGGAGCGTGGATAGATTTATTCCTGAGCTGCTAAACTTGCCAGATTATAATTATACCACTATTTAGGTCCACTTCAAAATGTAGACGTCTCTCACAATGATTTTTCCGCTCAGCATAATTGATCCATCCCAATAAATTCCCTTGGTGTACTTGATCAAATAGTTGAGATGACCTACGCTCAGAGGATGAGGCCAGGAAAGTTTTAAAAACTAAATTACATTAGCCCAGGGGTGGCCAACATGACGCCCTCCAGGAGTTATGAACTACAGCTCCCATCAGCCCTGATCTTTTGTCATACTGGTTGGAGCTGAAAGGAGTTGGAGTCACAACCATCTCGAGGGCAACATGTCTGCTACACCCACATTAACCCACTTCTTTTAAAAATTGTTTTTTTGTTTACATATTTAAGGTTTTACAACAATCCTTTACAACATTTTATCACGTGCCTGCACTTATTAATACCAGCAGTTTAGCATGAATTTAAGTGTGTTTCAGATATACAGTATTATACCCTTATTTTATACACTATTGACAGCAGAAGGTGCCCCTTTCCAGTTAGGGTTCTGTCCTTTGTTGGCTATGGGGAAGATTCGGTTTCATTTTACTGCATTTCATCAATGTATCCATGTTAGTGTAATTTGGAAAAATGGGTGAAATTGCACTAAGTCCATGTCTTGAACTGCCTATCCTCATATCTGGATTCTGCTTAGAATTAACACGTCAGCTGGACTGTGCAACTTAGAAACAGACCAGGGCTAAATGCCTGGAGCATGACTCATCCATTCTCCCTTTGTCTGAGGAATTGTCTGAGGCTGCATTCAGCAGCATTGGCAGAAATATGAAGCATTCACACTCAGTGCAAGCAGTGGCAGAGGAAGAGGAGTGCAGGGGGAGTGCACCGCCCCCATCAGCATGGCCCCGGTGGGGTGCCATTGCAGCTGCCCCCCTGCCTGTGCTGTGTGCCACACCCCCACAGGAGGCGTACCACGCCCCCAGGACGCGTGCCAGTCTCGCCCCCACCTGCTCTCCGCCCCCCGGTGCTGGATCATGAAGCTCCACCACTGAGTGCAAGGTATCATCACAGTTGAAGGTTACATGCTGTATGGTGAGCTAGCATGATAAAGTGCTAGTGGATTTCTCTTTATACTTGAACATTTACAAGATTTACTTCTAAGACCAGAAGAGATGTATTATAGTAGATCTATAATGGAACTATAGTAGATCTATAATGGAACTATAGTAGATCTGTTCATGATGCACCAACATCTCTCAAAGTTTATCTAGCCAGTGTGTTTATGCTTGTCTTGTGCCATGAGACAATAAACGCTTTATACTCTAAGCTAGAACTGAGTGGGAAAGGAGATTTATTAACTGGGAATTCTGGAAAAGGCTGACTACTGGAAAACAGGAAAACTCTGATTTTTAGCTGGAAGATTCTGCTGGAACTGTGCATTCTCTGCTGATTACACTGGCCAAAGTGTGGCATCGTATCAACAACAGATGGTGGGCCCAAGCTGAACAGGTGATGGGCCAACTGACTTCTACAATCCAGGCATACATCTCTCAGTTCCTTTGAGTGCTATGTGCTAAAGATGGCAGCACACAGATTAACTTCCCATGAGGTTTGGTAGAAAGAAAAGAAAAGAAAAGGTAACATTATTTTATATTTTAAAAAGATTTATAACAGTGGTAGAGTGCTGTGTTATCAACCATTTCTAAATATCAAAACTTCAACCCCAAGAAATGTCAGGCCTAGGGGCTGAATCCAGCCCTTCTGAAATCTGGCCCTCAGCACTCTTCCCAGGTCACGCCCCCCTCCTAGGCCACTCCCCCTATTCCCAGGCTGTCCTGCCCCATGTCTTCCTTGAATGCTTTTGCCTAGCTGGAATGTTTCCTTGAACTGCAATAATGCCTCTTGCTTGCCTGGATGAAGGATGGAGAGATGGGTGCAGGTGTATGCCTTTTCCATAGCTGAAAAGTAGACTCTTGCTTCAACCATTTCCCCCTACTGTCACATGGCCTCTGGAGGAGTGGCACGTGAAGGGCTGTACATTTCCTCCCGTCTCTGAACTATAATATACAATTTGGAAGAGAGTCTTAACATGCAATTAAACCTACCTCCACCTCTGCTGCCACCATCAAATGTTTGCAAAAATCTCATTCCACAGCATTCTAGGTACATAACAGCTCACAGTGTAATATTTATATTTCAGACAGGTGCTGAGTTTATTTTGTTGAAATGCCATCAGCTACCAATGAGTTCCTTGATTCAGGAAGCCAAGGCTGTAGTCATCATAACAATGAAAATATAATGATGAAACGTTGGCACTGAATGAATTTAAAGGTTTCAAGAGAACAATCAGAATATATGCTGGTGAACTATTTGCATGTAAAATTTGATGGATATGAAGAAGAATGTCCATTGATCTGTGCAGGATTGATGTAAAGTTGACAGGATTGTAATTTACTGGAACTCTTTTTGAAATGTGTTCTGTTGGCTACATTCCAAAGGATGATTAACATTTTAGCAATACTACATATTTTATACAAAAGGTCAGTCACTTCACATCTGAATTCTTTAAGACCTCTCAGATGAATGACACCTAGCCCTTAAAACTTCACCCTTTGTCACTGCTTTTTCACAATGGTTCTTCAAGTACCCTTCTTGGGGCAGGGGAGGGCAGAGAAGGAGATGATTCAGACATAAGAATTTGTCTTATGTCCTCTTATGTACCTCTTTTCAGAGCTGCTGCTCTGCCTGGTTTTATGTTTCTTACACCTTGGGGTGTTTCCTCCATTTGTGTATTTTCTCTTCTTGCTGCCACTATTTAAAACATGCTGACATTGTTTGGGACCCAGCTGATGTATGGACCACATTATAACAAACATGATTCTAAACATTATGAAAAACTTTCTATAGAGGCTGGGGTTGTATTGAAGGACATTTTGGAGGTTGATGGGTAGGTAAGTACTGGAATGAAATATTGACTGACTCTTGTACAAAGTCAGATCATTGGTCCATGTAGATCAGAACAGTCCACACTGAATGGTAGCAGCTCTCCAGGATTCCATACAGGTGTACCTGGAGATGCCAAGGATTAATCTTGGACCTTTCTGCATGAAATGCATGTGCTGTACCTATGAGCCCATAGCCCTTCTCCAAAGCAATCTTCTGAATACTTCACACTATAGAAACCTCATTTTAACTATGACCTTGAAGAGAGATTGTAGTACCAAAATCACAGTATAACTATAAATTGGAATGTGATCTATACTACACTGTTCAGGTGATGACAAAGATTCGTCTCACCAGTATGTTCCATTATGCTAACGCTCTTCTTAAGCTACGACTCACTTCCAGCAGAGATTTGATACGCCCCCTAGTATCTTTTGTTCTTCCTTTGTTTCAGGAGTTAGCCTGCTGATTCCACATGGAGCCATCCCCGAAGAAGCATCTTGGGAGATCTACCTTGCCATCAACCAAGATGAAGCCAGGTAAGACAGGAGCAAAAATGATGCACATATGCTCATCAAAACTGTTAAACGCCAACTTATAGAACAGGAATGGGGACCCTCTTCCCACACCACCAAGGCAACTGGACCCCAACCCTCATCAGCCCCAGTCAACATAACCAATAGTTGGTGTTGATAGGAGTTGGAGTCCATCAAGAACTGGAGGACCAGAGGTTCCCTGTCACTGTTCTAGAAGAAAGGGGGAGTAACTGAAGTGACTGCATAATTTCCATTGATTTAGAAATATATTGCTGCTCAAAATAAGAAGGGTATATATAACTAGAAATTGAACTTTAAAAAAAAAAATCAGTTCAATTCCTCCTCTATAGAGTAGTCTCTATAGTATGCTCTAAATTAGGGCTACTTAAGGTTGTGTCTACCAGGTGTTATTAGACTTCAACTGCCATCATCCCTGATCCTTGGCTATGTTGGCTGGAGCTGATTGGAGTCTAACAACACCAGAAGGGGCACCACTTTCCTTTCTGTAGGCATTATAGATTAAAGAGCTGTGGTTTAATCACATACATATGGAGAGGCTCACACAATTTCACTGGAAATATATGAATTTACAAATATCCCTGCATAGCCTGTTAACCACAGTATATTTGGTGCCGGTCATTTTGCGTGTTCAGACCCAGAGACCTCCCCCCTAAATAAACACATATTTTCAAATTTTAGTTTTGGTTTTTGGCAGAATTTAGGCCACAACTTTATTGATTACAGAAAAGTGGTTGCATAGGCTCTGGTTCAGCTAGCTCCCTGTACCCTTGCAGATAGCGCTGACCCAGGGCTCCAGCATAGGTCAGCTAAGGGTGAACATCTGAGGTAGGTGAAAAGCCCGGGAACAGACTCTGTTCACTCCCCAGATGCTCCCCTGGACTCAGGCACAGGCACAACCCCCTCTTGGGAGTTGACCAACCCAAGTTGAGTCCCTGGATTCCTTTAAGGGAATACCCTTCAAATAGGGATAGTGAGCAGCCCAACAAGACAATGACAATAATCCACCAACAGCATACAAATCAATATGGCTAACCTGATCCAAAACACCCACCCACCCCACTCACACACGAAAACAAAGATCACCACAGCCAATCACAAACAAACAACCACACCCTTGGCCAACCCCAACCTCTCTCACCACCAAAGGAACACAAGTGAACAGCAGAGAACCTGCACGACCAACGCTGACACCAAACCCTACATACATTAAGCATAATGGAAACATTGCAACCTGACCCCCCCACCCCCACCCATCTTCCCCAGCCCCCACCCCTTTTCTTCCTAATGTCTCAACAAATGAAACTGATTTGTAAAAATGTTACATGGAAAAAATACGAGAGACATTACACATACTTCTGTAAATCAGGAATGTTTTTAATAAAAAAACAAAACAAAACCTAGGGATAGTGAGACCATTCTCCCATCCCTATCACCTGAGCCAGTGCCTATTCGCAACCTTACAAGTTGTGACAATTTGCAGGCGAAACCCAAATGGCAACAGCCAATAAGACAAGTGGGGGAAATTCCTGCCGTGCCCCTGTCCCAACGACAGATGACACATGACGGCATAGCAAGGTCAATCACAAAATGTAAGGACAGGTGGGCGGGTGTTCCGATGCATGAGCCAAAAGAGGAAGCTCTGGGTCACGTGCATAGGTATATATAGGTCCCTCGATCCATTTTGACTGCACCCCATTGGCCAGATTAAACCCAGCAATGAGGGACCTACCATTCGGGTGTTGTGGCTATCCAGTATACCCACCCACAACCAGGAGGTTAGTCTCCAGGGCTCATCGCAACACATGACCTCTTTTAGGGAGGACACGATTTACCCTTACACACAGGAAATACAGAGGGATATTTTGTTTACTCCATTTTCTGTTGGAGGTAGGGATGGTTAATCTCCACCCCCAGGGGTGGAGTTTTCCAGAAGAATGAGTAGGTGGGGAAAGGAGGTGGCTGTTACTTTCCTAGTGTAATGGGATCAAGAAGGACGGGGGAGTGCCAAGGAGTTTCAAAGCTAGATCAGCCATTGCTTCTCCTTCTATTCTCGCTAATATTCTTTCCATCACCATCATTATGCCTTCAATTCAAGCCCCCAAGTAAGATTGTGTTTGAATTAATATTTATGCCCTGCATTTCTACCAAAATAGCACTTGTAGAGGCTTGCAGTGAAGAACAACAAAGACAATATAAAAATACATGCACTTCATATACAGTGTAATAATATAAAGAGCAGCAATTATATATCCTAGCTACTGCAAGAAACCATAATTTTTGAAACTCCTAGAATTCCTAGGGTGGTTTAACAACCAAACCCTCTTCTCAGGGGATTGTGGGAATCGTAGCTCTGTAAGGGCCTAACAGCTCTCAGCAATTTTAACAAATTAACAGCTCCCAGAATTATTTGGAGGAAGCCATAACTATTTTAAGTGCTTTAAATGTATGGCATGAACATGGCTTTAGTTAACTTTCAACTAGAACTTTTTTTGTGCCTTAAAATGGAGATTTTCCCTCTCCCACCTGCTCTGAAAGGAATGTGACAGTGAAACTGAGGACTAGCAATCAATCAATCACTCAATCAATCAATCAATCAATCAATCTTTATTGTGATCAAAGACCAGATAACAAAATTAACACCAGCAACATACACTTCATCATCATCAAGAGGAGGATGTAATTAGAAATTCCCTATAAACTTATTTACATTAAAAATAACACTCCTTCAACTAAAATCTTTGATCCAAAGTTTAAAATCAGTGCTCATTCATCAAACAACTGCCACTACAGTCTGTCTTGTCCTCCTTGCCATAAAACAGAATTTCATGACAGGCCTGGTGATGTTCAGATCATTGTTGGCAAGAAGGTATTTAACATAGCTTTCCCTTGAGCGGCCTGGTAATTTCCTTAGTAGTGGTTGAATTAGCTCTCTTTGAGTATCACAATCCAATGGGCAGTATAAAAGAACATGTCCCATGGATCAGAGTTGCATCAGAGTTGCATGGGCATAATCTCTGTTCAACTGGGATGTCATGATATCTGCCCTCTAATAGTGCTGAAGGGAGAACTTTAAAACGGGCTCTGGAAAATGCCCAGCGATGTTTAGGGTCGTCCAGTGCACTTAAGTAGTTGACTGGGTGTGATCTTTGAGGTTTGTGTAAGGATTTATAAATTTTAGAGGATCGGTTAAGATCATTTTGTTATTTTATATCCCAGATTCGTTCTTATTATACTTCTAGCTCTTTCCATTTCTAGACTTAAAAGATATTCAGGAGAAAAGCAGTATAAAATCATTTTGTTTGATAATTATCAGCCAGCGGAGCAGCCCAGTTGGGGTCTTAACTGAGCCTTTACCATGTACACAAAGTCACAAGTCACACTTGGGCTTGTCTGTAATCGTAGGGCTCTGTTAGTGACACATTTGGGAGTTTGGAGAATTGACCTTAAAAACCCTGATTGTATTTTTTCATAGGGATCCAAATTAGAGAGGGGGACTAGTTGTGTGTTGTGTAACAATTGAGCTAAAGGTTTTGCAGCCTATAATTTAATAGCAGCTGGAATAAAGTTTCCTCCCTTTACTTGGTGGGCCGCCCAAGGCTAACAAGTTTTGATAGCTTTTCATTCTCCTTTTTACTTCTTCTTAAAGGTTTCTAGTATTATTATTTTTCCCCGTTTTTCTCACAGTTTCTACCTGTGAAAAATCACTAGGTTGCTTCCTCGTCCCGCTTCTTTTTGAGCCTCGGGAGAAATGTCAGTGTGTTGTGTTGGTAAAGGCTGTTGTTCAGCTTTAGAGCAGCCCTGTGAAGCAGATGATGGGAGTCCACATGCGGCCCCTTTTGTGATCCTCCTCCTGCCATCAGGTTGACCTAACCCTCATTAGCTGTGGCCTGCCGAGTGCAAGGTGGCCAAGATATGTGAGTCAAGAGACTCGACTTGGCTGTTGCTGCTACTCTAACACAGCCAGGAGCAGAGTAGGAGCTGAGCAGCGTGTCACCAGGTGTTCTAGAAGAGGCCTGGGCTGTTTCTAACAGCTCTCCAGTGACCCAAACCAGGAGATAAGGTATTGTTATTAAGAGAATGAGCTGCGAACTGCACATTCCCAATTGAAATCTATGTATTATCATGTGCTGCTAGTACTATTATTATAATGGCAATGTACTTATATCCTGCATCATATAATCATACAGAAACATTCCAGAGTGCCATTGCAAATTCCCTCCCCTCATTTGAAGATTATTAAAGGTTGGAAATGCCCACAAATCGGCATATTGTCCTATTTTCAGACTTATTGTATTTACTTTGGTATTTTTTACGCTGCCTTTTGGTGTGAATGGCCCGCCCAAGGCAGTTTGCAAATAAATGCGTGAAACAATGGGATGAGCCATCTCACATTGGAAGCTGCCTTATACCAATTCAGAACACTGGTCCCTCTAATCCAGTATTGCTTACTCTGACTGGCAGCGACTCTCCAGGGTTTCAAGCAGGAGATGGGGATTGAACCTGGGACTTCTTACATGCAAAGCAAAGTATCCTCCTAATACTTGTGTTCTTGATTGCTGTCTGACACAGTCCAGCATCCTGTTCCGTCTCTGTGTTGGCTTCTTCGCTGTCACATATGAGCCAGCAGCTGTCATGACCTGGTTTGAGGAGGAAGACAAAGACTTTTCAGACCTTTCTAGAGGCTGGCTGTATACCAAATTTTACCTTTCTCACTGTGCCTTTCCTTCTTGTGATTGAACCCCACAGAAGAGACTGCATGCTGGCATCACTAAGGACAAATGGAGCTGAGTAATATTAATATTCCATTGGTCACATGGGTGAGCCTAGCCCATAAGGCATTCTTCCCCAGTCAGGTCACACCAGGTTATTTGGACACACATATATATATTCCTATCCTGCCCTTCTAATATCTATGCACCACTTACTGTAGGGTGGCTTGCCACAATTTCAAATCACAGCACAAAAAAATGCATATTAAAATA